TAAAGAAAATTAATAATTCAGGAGAGGGTAGGAGAGAAGATATATACTAAAATGCATTATTAGTTTAAATTGGCAAAGAAGTATGATTTTGGGGATCAGATGATTAAAGATAAATTGTGAATTAGTCAAATATAAGGTTAGGAGTGGAGAAAAGCATTTCTGGAGAACAGCTGATTAGGCTGTGAACCAGCCAAAAATAAACCTAGGAGGAGCGGAGGAGGCAATGCTGGAGAGCAGTGAGAGCCAAACTGCGAACCAGTCAAATATAGGGTAAGGAGTGGAAGAAAGCATTCCTGGAAGACAACTAATTAAGCTGTGAACCAGCCAAAAATAAATTTAGGAGGAGTGGAGGAGACAATGCTGGGGACCAGTTAAAGCTAAACTGTGTACTAGCTAAATATAAGGTAAAGAGTGGAGGAAAGCATCCCTGGAAAACAGCAAATTATGCTGTGAACCAGCTAAAAATAAACTTAGGAGGAGAGGAGGAGATAATACTGGGGAGCAGTTAAAGCTAAACTGTAAACCAGCTGCAAACCAGTGAAATATAGGTTAGGAGTGGAGGGCAGCATCCCTGGAAAACAGCTGAAAAGCTGTTATCCAGCCAAAATGTTGGAAAGCAGTTAAAACTAAACTGTGATCCAGCCAACAAATAAGATTAGGAATGGAGGAAAGCACCCCTGGAAACCAGCTAATTAAGCTGCAATCCAGCTAAAAATAAACCTAGGAGGAGTGAAGGAGATATACTTGAAGAACAGTTACTGATTTTGCAATGTTCTTAGGAGAGGAATAAAATACTTTATGTTGATTATTAGATGTGAGTTAAAAGAAACATTGACTTTATTTGAGTCTTTGAAGTAAGGAAAATATATGAAATACTGATTGTTAAAATGATAAATGAATATTATAAAGAGCTGTTTAGATTTGAAGTTTAAGATTTAGGGTGATTACATAATAAAATATTAAATGTTAGAATAAGATGTTAGATTGAATGATAAAAAGTGGGTTTAGATTTGTTCTTTTTTTCTTTTTTTCCCCTTTAAGATGCTAACTGATGAAATTTGAAATTTATACTTATTTTATACCAGATCAAACCTTTGCTCTAAAAAGATATTGTTTTATGATTTATGTTGAAAAATAAATTTAAAAAAGTTAAAAAAAAGACATCCACAAAAGCCTGGTGGAACACTGTGAGTGACTGGAAGCCATTAATATCTACCTTTTCTATCTTACAGATGGACTCCTGGTAGAGGGGGCCGCCTGTCGAGCTACATCCACTACATTCACTGCTCAACACACGAATCTCAACTAATGAGGATTCAGGCGGTGGAAACACAAACCTGATGTGACTGGGATGGGGGTGGGAGGTCTGGCGGATCACCCAGGTGGGGTAGGATCATAATGCAGGCAGTGATGGTAGCACTGGGTGTTAAGCAGCTGAAGGGATTGACAACAGAGAATGGAAGCACCATGTAGATGACGCGAATGCGGAAGGAGAGAATGGGAGTCTCGGCCGAGCGCATGCTTCCTCCAAACAGCTGTGATAATTGGCAAAACAAGGCTTGAGTAGCTGTGGGCATGGATTTGCTTTAAAACCAGGCACTGAGAGGCAGAAGCTCTCAGAGCCAACTTTGATCCTTAGAACTCTGTTTATCTTGCAGCCAGCTTGTAGCTGTAATAAACCTGCATTTCATCAGCCTCGCAGCGCATTCAAGTCTTTTGCGCAGTCCAGCACATGTGTGGCCAAGCAAGCAGAGAGAGGGCTTCACTTTGTTTTTTGTTTTTTGGGCTGGGGAAGCCCATTCCTAAAAGCCTGGCAGTTGTACTGGTTCTTCCACTTCAGTTAAACAGCCTTCCTGAATGGCTATTACATCAAATCTAGAGAGAAAGTTAATTAGTCCAATATCAGCCATCCCTTTCTAGCCAGCCACGTTCCAGGTCAGCATTTATATGGGATTCCCAGGGGCAACTGGCTTAGTTGCTTGGCTGGGTGATAAGAACGCCGGATGTCAACTTGACGTTGGAGCTTGATCAATATTAACTATGCTTCCCACATAAACACAGTTATTGTGAGGTTCGATATTTGTCCTTGTGAGTTACAAAACTTTTTATTGCTCCTCTTTATCTTGCTTGCCAGTGTGCCTCTGCTTTTGCTTAAGATTGACATTTCTTCAGGTGGGCGGGTACTCCAGCTTTCCTTCTCCTTGTCTAGTTGTCCTACTGGGTGGTTAATTTGGACTTGTACTATTAAGTCCTGTTGTATGTCCCTTTCCTCCTCTTTTTGTTTTGGACTGGTACACCTTCTCTTTTTATTTATTGGGGCTTGAGTGCTTTCAGAAGCCAGACTTGATAGCAATTCAAGTCTTCTCGAGGAGCTGCCAGAAGGAAGTAAAACATTCAAGCTTTCTGTTGCACAGACCTCAATGTTTGACCAATTATTTCAATTTTCTCCAGTATCATCTCTTGGTCTCCTGAGCAAACGGTAGCAAACTGGTAGACTAGCTCTTCCTTGTCATCCATGAACTGAAGCTTTCCATTGTGTAGATTTAAATATTTTTTTTATTGTCCTTATCTTTTCTTAACCTTGTTAGTTGAGGGCTTGTTTGTTTGTTTGGCCATTGGTATTTTGGAGTTCCCAAGATTAATGTCGACCTCCCCCACTATCTTGGCTCTCTGCCCAGGCTTTAATAGAGACTGAATTTGGGTGGTGTGAAATACCCATTTTGGCCAAATATAGAATTTCTTTAGTGAGGTCTCAAGCCTGAATAACATTGATGGCAGAACAATCTGCCCAAAGGTTACCAATATTCTTTTGCAGCCTTGTCTGTTAGGGAGCCAAGAAATCTCTACTAGCTCATTAGAATATACTCTACAGCATAAGAGTTGGGATAGAGAGATCAAAACCACTCTCCTGTTATGCTACCTACCACTGTTCAGAGGGGTGTTAGCAACTGGAGTAAGATCCTGTGTCTCTGCAAGACCAGTATCTCCAGTGCATCTGCTTTGTCCTGAGAGCCACAGTCCATACAGGCTGGCTGAACATCATGGGTAAGCTTTGGAATGTGAGCTTTGCTGTTTAATTCTTCATCTAACATTAATATATTTTATCACTAGAGACTTTTGTTCTTTAATTTCTCCATTTGCTTCCAGGAGTTGGTCAAATATGTCAGAGACTGTTTCTGCTGTTAGTAGGCAATTCTTAGCAACCAAATCCAAGTCTCCTTTAAAATTGTTCCTAATATTATTCTTGTTCTCCCCTCCAACGCATACTGGAATTGCAATTCCCTCCTCCATAGAGAAGCAGTCATCTTTTTCCCAATCCAGAAGAGGGCTAGGTTTGTTTGCTGGGGTTGCAAGGGGGGAAGAAAAGAGAGAAGGAGACTTATTTGCAGTGTCCGTTATCTGAAAAAAATCTTTTATCTTGGGTTGTCTGGGTTTTGTCACAGCCATGTTTAGCTGGTTTTGTTTGCTTAGTAGAGAAAACTTTCCACTCATTCACTAAATGGTTTACTAACTGGAGTAAAAAGCTGGAGTAAAAGCTGGAGTAAAAGCTGAACTTCTCAAGTGGTGAAATTAAAACTTTTTAAATTTTAAAGTTAAAATTGTTAAAAATTGATTTAAAAGTAGAAAGATTATTTTTAAAAAGGATAAAAATAGATAATAAAAAGGAGAGCAAAGCTCAGGGCTGCTGCTCACTGTTTCCATCTTGGCTCCACCCACACACAAGAAACGAGACAATATTAAAATTATCTAATTGTGTTTGAGAAAGATAGATTTCACTAAGGATGGTATTGAAAATGTAATTAAATGCCATGGCTGGATGTTGAAACATGATGGATCTTCCCAGTATGATTTATCATATTTTTATTTCTTTTTAATTGCTTTTTCCATCAGATTTCAGTAATCTAGATATGAAATAATATCATTATGTACTGTTGGGGAGGGATCAAATTATTTTCCAAAGCACCAAAGGGCAGGACAAGAAACAACAGTTGGAAATTAATCAAAGAGAGAAGCAACCTGGAATTAAGGAGAAACTTCCTAACAGTGAAAACAGTTAACAATTGCCTGCAGAAATCATGGGTTTAAATGATGTTTTCTTAAAAACATCACTGGATGTTTTTAAGAAAAGTCTAACAGCCACTTATCTAAAATGGTATAGATTCTCCTGCTTGAGCAGGGAGCTGGACTAGAAGAGCTGCAAGGTCCCTTCCAGTTCATTCTATTCTAAATGCAACACAAACTAACATTTGGCAGAATAGCCATGAAGGCCTTAGAAAAGATATTCAGATGCTATGATGTGTCTATAACAAAAAAATCTGAACAGTGCAAGCCCTAGTATTCTCTATGATGTTCTATGGAAACAAAAGTTGAACTTGGAAGACACAAGCTATGAAAAGTATTAATTCTTTCCAAAGTTTATGCGGGAAAAGATTCCTAAGCATATAGTGGAGAGCCAAGAAAACAAATCAGTGAATCATCAAATAAATCAATCCATAATTCTCACTTGAGGTACAAATAATTATGCTCAAATTATTCTATTTCATATATATTATGTGAAGACTTAGGTTTCTGGAGAAAGTGCAACTGCTGGGAAAGGTGGAAGGAAAAAGAAAAAGAGGACAATCAGCAGCAAGATGGATAGACTAAGTTACAGTGGCAATTGCAGTGCTATTGGAAGAGCTGAAGAACCAGACTGGGATAGATTGTCAAGGAAAAAAACTATCTATATGGTCACTAAAAGTCAACAATGACACCATGCCCCATAAACACTCACTAACTCACTCAATCAATCAGCCAATCATATGCATGATGTACATTTAAAAAGATGGCTCTTTGATCACATCCAGAATCTTTGAGTCCTCTATGGATGCTGTCCTGAAACCAATAATATTTGCTGTTAAAACAATTTTGTACCAAAATGTTTCAAACAATCCATCCTGTTTATGAATAATTATATAATTGTGTTGCTATCCAATAGCTTTCATACAGTAAAGACTCACCTCCAACTTCTTCTTCTTCAGGTTCTTCTTCTAATTCTTTCTCTTCTATAAACATGAGCTCTGGTATCTAAAATTAAATATTTACATTGTCAAACTCTGGTGGGATTTATTTAAAATATTTATATGATAGTTATCATTTTCTACATCTAATCTGACTTAATATATTTTAATTTTAAAAAGCATTCTACTGTGATAAGGTTTTCAACACAGTTTTCAAAATATAAAATAAAATCAACTAGGAGATTTTTATATGAACTTCCAAGGATTGTAATAGCAGAAATGGCATGCCACCAGCAAAATTTTATCAACAGAAAAGGTACAAATGAGAAGTCGGACACACTTCTGTCAGTGCAGTTAAGAGACTGACTCCTTTTATTATCCTTAAATGGTTTCTATCTAAGTTGTCCTTAGATAAACACTGTAACAGGCAGAACAGGCACTGGTGGGCCAAAAGGAACATCAAGAAGAAGAATTATCTCATCCAGAGGCAAGCTGACTCTGCCAACAAGACAAAAAGATTTATGATTTTTAACCCCTTCCTTCTAGTGTATTTTTTGGGATCAATCTAGAAAGATGAATCATTCTTTCTTGTGAAGAGTTCCATGTTGAATTTCTGCTATCAGTTGGCTGTTATCCACAAACAATAGAAATTTTTTTTATAGAGCAGCCTCTTCTAGAGCAGTGTGCCTTTCCATTGGCAGACAATCATTAAGAAAACATGCTTCTTTTTTAGCCATTGATTTCAGGCCAAGAAACCATAGTTTAATTTGCTTCATTTTCCCCTTCTCCCCTTCTCTCCCAGTGATCCATTAATATTATTATTCTGGACAAGGATTGCCTAGACAATTGTTGGCAACTGCGACAAATTTACAATATGTGTATGTCAGTTCAAGAATTCCCCAGCCTACTTGAACTTCACAACTTTAAAGTTTCTAAGGCTGAGAAACAGTATCCTAGGTCACTGATAGCTATCACAGGATCCTTTCTGGCTAAAGCTAATCATTTCAATATTTTCTGGCTAAAGCTAATCATTTCATAACTCATAAAATACAAGCAATGCAACAACAATTTAAATTATTGAATTTAGGACCAGAGAATATTTGACATTGGAGGATCAACCAAAAAATGTTTTCAAACTGAAAAAACAATAAGAATGAAAAATATATTAGAGAGACTTCCAGCGGTGACGTGGGGTTGAGGCGGCATGGGGGAAAATCGCTCCATTCCCAAGGGGTGAGGATCGGTCCTGGTGGGACCAGCAAGAAGGAGGGGATCTTCGGAGGAGGTGTGGAGAGTGCGGTCTCCCACCACACCAAGAAGGACCCTCTATCCAGACACAGAAGAAGCCAGCCGACATGGTTGACCCAGAGGCTTGATGTCCCGGTTTAGAGCAATAGGAAGCGGAGAGTGAGTATGGTGCGAGATTCAGTGGTGAGAGCAGGAAACAGAAGTTTCCAGTTTTTGGACAATTGGAGAGGAGGAGTCTGGAGGGGCAGCAGAGAGGAAAGAAAGACTCTGAGTGTGACTGGGCAGCAAATAATGAGGAGAGCAAAATGGAAAGAGGGCAAAATTCAGACCAGCAGAAGAACACCAGGGGAGTGGAAAAGGAGACGATCGGAAGGAAAGTGAGTGTTCCAGGAAGCTGGGAAAGAGAAGCAAACCTGAATACAAGGTTCTGTCTTTACCCCTACATTTGCTGCTCTAATGAAAGAAGAAGTGTGGATTGGCAAAAAGTAAAGGGCGCATGAGAGTGATAGTGTAGATTGGAGATTGCCATCTTGAAGGCAAGGACCAGCTGATGGTCATTTTTGAGTGAAGGACTAAAATTTCAAAGGAAAGATTAATTTGAACTTTTAAATACAAGAACTGAAAGCACTATTTACATTTATATATAACTTACATGCTGATATATTTATTTAAATGGTAACAAATAGAATTTAAATTTTTACATTTATAATTAATTAATAGCAAATTATTACTAATTATTGATAAATTTATTATCTTTTTACCTTTTCTCTTCCTTTTTTATTTTCTCCTGCTCTTTTTCTTTACTTTTTCCTTTTGACTTGTTCATTTATTATTTAAAACAAATATTTAAAGTTAATATTAGAGATTCTTAATTGATTAAATAAATATTAGTATATCTGCTTATTTGTTGGGTTTAGACTAAAAGTGGAATAATTTTAGTAATTAGATTATTAATTAAGGTATTAATGAATTTCTCTTTTGAACAGAATTTTATTAATTAAGTTAGGAATTATATTATATAGATAAGCTTTTTGGGATTGATGCATTGTGAATTGTAGTGGACTAGTTTATAATCTGGTAGTAAGGGATAAGGAAAAGAAAGAAAGGAAGTTGAATAGTGAAGTGGATGGTGATTTGGGAAAAGATAGATAGGATTTTAGGGGTACAGTATAGAATAATAAAGGAAAGGACCAGCACCACCACAACTATTGTGAAGGCGGGAAAGAAAACTACTTCAACATTGACTGGACCATCAGCTTCTCCTGCAGTGCAGAGAATAATAGAAGGAATGTTCCCATCAGAAAAACAACCACTTCGAATATGCAAACTATGCAGGCTACCCTCTCAGCAATTCAAGAGACTATGGCAAAACTGCAGGAATGTATGACAAAGAATCATGAAGAAGCGAGGAGGGATATGGATGAGATCAAGAGGGAAGTCAAAAGCGATATTCAAAAATTAGATGAAAAGATGGGTTCAATACAAGAAATCATACAAAAAAATGACCAACGAATAACAGTCATAGAGAAAAGAATAGAACAGACAGAAGGAAAATTGGATTCATTGGACCAGAAAATGATAGGACTAAATAAAGAACTGGAAAACACAGTGACCCACCTGGAGATGGAGAGAGCTTCATTCTATCTGAGAGTTCAGAACGTTGTCGAAGATAGAGAGGAGGACTTGACATTTGTGATGGCGGAAGTGATTGCGGAGGCCCTCCAGCAAGATAAGGATGAAATAATAAATGAGCTGGACGAGGTCTATAGGGTCCACATGAACTATACCAGACAATATAAACTACCAAGGGAGGTCCATGTAAGATTTGTGTGAAGAAAAGTAAGAGACATTGTTTATAAAATAACAAAAAATGAACCCATGTTTTATAGAGGCAAGGAAATAATTACATTAAAGCAGGTCCTAAGAGAATAAGAAAACTGAGAAAGGAATACTGGTTCCAAGCCACATTATTAAATAAGCGGCACATACTGTTTAGATGGATAACACCGGAGGGAATGTTGGTGTCGTGGCAAGGGAAAAAAATTAAAGTGGACTCACAGAGCAAAGCACAGAACCTTCATGACCAAGTTATGGGTATAGAAGGAGTAAATAGTAACAGGGAGGAGCTGGAACAGAGGACTAAAGGGACCCAAAGACAGGAAGAGCAGGAAAAGGTACTAGAGGAGGAAGATAAAGAGGAAGAAGGGGAACTTCAAGAAGGTGGAGTGAGAACAAGAGTGAAGAGAAGGGACAGGAAGTAATAGGAAATAGCACGTAATAGAACCACAAAGGAATGGAACAAAATTTAAAAATTATATCATTAAATGTAAATGGTCTTAACTCTCCAGCTAAACAACATCAAATTTTTAGAAAAGTGGCAAAACAAAAAAGTGGATATAGTGTGCCTCCAAGAGGTGCACAAAAGGAAACAGGATGAAAAATACTTATAATGTAAAAAAATAGGGGAATTATTTGTAGCATTAGCGGAAGAAAAGAAAAGAGGAATAGTGGTGTACATTAGAGAAGGAATAGAGGGTTTGAAATAGTAGATTCAGCAGGAAGAATATTGATGATAGAGGTAAAATTAGAACATAAAAATATTTTATTGGTGGTCATCTATGCGCTGAATAGTGGACTGCTAGAATTTTATTAAAAAGTACATGAAAAGATAATAGAAGAAAAAACAGATAACACATGTTTAATTGGCGATTTCAAAGCAATTGTAGATGTAAAAAAGGATTATAGCAGTGATCAGAATAACAAAAAAGAGAGAGAGAGAGAGAGAGAGAGAGAGAGAGAGAGAGAGAGAGGAGAGAGAGAGAGAGAGAAATGTACTTCCTAGAACTTTTACAGATCTAGTAGAAGAACTAAATTTAATAGACAGTTGGAGATTCTGCAACCCCGAGGTAAAGAAATTTACACATTATTCCAATCCTCACAAGTCGTGGTCCAGAATAGACATGGTATGGATAACAAAGACACTTATTCAAGAGGTAGAAACAGTAGAAATAATGCCAAACAATTGGGCTGACCATAACCCTGTAATGTTGATATGGAAAGGACATCAAAGGAAAAAGAGGAGATGGATGTTGAGCCCACAGTTACTGAAGGAAAAGGAACATATAGAGCCAATGAAAAAGGAATTAGAGTTGTTCTTTAGAGACAAAACAAAATACCGTACTACCCTTCAGAATCTGTGGGACACAATGAACGCTTAAGTGAGAGGATTAATAATAACATATAGTGCAAAACAAAAAAAGGAAAGGGAAAAAGAATATAATAATGTGCAGGAAGAGATCAAAAATTGGGAAGAAAAACTAGAAAATAAACCTGGGGATGAGCAAATTAGAGGTAAATAGATAGCAGCTAAACATAAATTGAATATATTGGAACAGGAAAATTATAGAAAGGCCTTGAAATTTATAAAGCAGAATTATTTTGAACACGTGAATAAGCCAGGGAGATGGCTTGCTTATAGATTAAGAATAGAAAGGGAGAAAAGAACAATTCAGCAACTATAGGATAAAAGGGGTAAAATGCAATATAGTTTAGAAAAGAAAAAGGAGATAGCATGTCTTTTTTCAAGAACTCTATGAACAAGATAAAGTGACAGATGAGGAAATAAATCAATATCCAAATGGTGAGGGAATATCGGCCTTAACAGAAGAAGAAAGGGAGATATTAAATAGGAATATTACTATAGAAGAGTTAAGAGAGGCGATTAAGAAACAAAAAAATAACAAAACCCCAGGGATGGATGGATTACCAAGTGAATTTTATAAAGGACTAGGAGGTTATTGGATATTATTAGAAACTTGT